CAAAATATTGTAAACAAACGAGTGTATCAAAAACATTGAACTGAAATAAAATTAAATTAAGTTAAGAAAACATTTTTTTATTTTTATTTTGATAACAAAATTTTTTTTTCATGTTTTATTTTTCATTTCATAAAAAAACCTTCGAATGTATGAAAGTCATAGTTATAAATTTAAAATTTCATACTTTGGTATACGGCACATACCTATTCAAGCTATATGCACAATATGATGTAGTAATATGTATGTACCCCGTTTATATGGCTGCTTCAAGCTTATTATTGTCTATATAATCCGGCTTCACTCAAGTCGCTTACTTGACTTGAAATGTTAATAATGATTTGAAATTTAATAGCTAATCGTCGTTTTGAAAAATACAAAATGTACATGGAAAAATCATACATCCCTTCTCATTAACACGTTATTTGAAACCATACTTACATATGAATATGAACAATAATTGTTATTTTTTCTTTTTCGTTCAACAGAATTTAAATGGTTTTCAAAGAGCTTTTCAAAGAATTTGTATAATATTGTGAAATTTTTCAAAATTTTAAACTGTTTTTTACTTAAAAACAAGAAAAATATAATAAGAAATATCACAATTCACACGATCAATAGAATTAAAAAAAAAAAACAGAAACGAGGGCAACAAATCGGAATACTTGGTAAAAAAAATTGAGCATTGAGACTTGTTGAATATTTATATAACTTGTAGTACCTATGCCGGAATTTACACAGTGGAAAGCTTTCTGTAAATTCATGCACATGCAACGTATTTACCGTCTAAAATAGTTTTTGACGTAAAATTTTTGTTGTTTGGAATTTTTTTTTTGTCAAAGCCTTACTATTTTCATTTAAATTTCATTTGCAATTTGATTTTGAATTGAAAGGTAAATAAAACAATGATAAAAAGTGAAAAGTAAGTAATACATATTTTTTTTTTGCATGCGGTTATAACGTTAATTTTTTTTGGTCCCTTGAGTGAACGTTGTTTGAAAACAAACGAACAACTATAGTTGATGTTCACAATGTGGTGCACTATGTAAATAGCACCATCATCTATATAATCATACTAGCACTTGTATTATTGTTCATTACAACAAAATGGAGAGCTAAACAACAAATTCCACAGCCTAAATCCCGAGCTCGTAATCGTTCATCCATGTAGGCTCAAGACTTCTCGCTTGCCTTTGAAAGGGAGAATGTTGTATAACAACAATTATTCTGAATTCTAAATTTCTTATTATTATTTTCCCATTTATTTGAATTACCAAAATTGCTAAAATTCCTAATTTGTCAAACTTAATATTAACTCACATGTATTTTCAAACATTATAGTTAATGTAAATTAACTATAACGTTTGAATCACATATTTAGTTAATGTAAATATTTTCCCGTACATAACTTTCTCACAATATTTTAGTAGGAGTCAAATTACATATATTTTGTTTGTTAATTTTACTTAGTAAAATTGAAACCTATATGATACGTATGTGAAGTTAACATGGAAAAATTATGAATTTTATAAATGCATAAAATTGCTTACGAGTACTAGTCTATTTCTGTGGGAAATAATTAATTTTAAGTAGCATAATTTTTGCATAAATAGGTCAGATTTTTAATAAATAAATTATTTAACTTCAAACCAAGCAACAAGAAGTTTTTCAATTAAACTCTCTAATACTGACGTTTATCATTCAATTGTCATCGCATGTTGCAACTACAAATATTCAATATTCGAAATTGTACCCTTAGATAAACCAAACCTTAAAAAATTGAAGCAATTGTCAGCTTCCCTCGTTTAAAAATCTCAAAGATCTGGAATGGTTTTTAGGTACGTCAGTGTACTATAGACGATTAATATTACTAATTACAGATAATGGATAAGAATAATACATGAAAACCCCTGATATCCTTTTTCGTGGAGAGGAAGGACGTGTGTCCAAAAACGATTTAAAAACTAAACGAATCCCCCTGGACCGGAATGAGCTTCAGACATTTGGTAAATTCAAAACTACTTTGATGTCACAAGATATCATGTTAATACACCTAAACTTCGTGAAACTATTCGAATTAACAACCGATTGATTTATACTCGTAAAGTACACTCACATTCATATAAAGTACACTAAGTAAAACTGAGGAAGATTACGCGACGAAGTGTGCAAAATTTATACGCACGATCAGCCTTTGGCACACTACCTATTCGAACAGAACGGAACGCACTAACATTCACAAAACATACCGGCGAAAGTTTAGTACACAATTTAGTCCAATAAATGCTATATTCGAATATCCAAAGACATTATAAACATCTTAAAGAGAAACTTCAGATACCAAACAAACGGCATACTTACTGCGAGGAATGTATTATTGGTCAAGGTCAGGTTAGTTTTCTAACTACAAAATTGTATTTACCCGAAATATTTTAGATGATATACAAAACGAAACGCGACAAAACGAATTAATATGGTGCATGCATTGCAGAACTCATTGCAATGTTTAAGAAAATAAACTTCAAATCTTTCAAAATTCTTCCTTTCCACAAAAATAACAAAAATATCAAAAATATAAAAATAATAACAAAGTGTGAAATTCCTACACGACTGAAGAAAAACTAGTTTTGACGGCTCTAGATTAATTTGCGAGCAACCGAAGATATTGTAAGACCTGTAATGGAATTTTTCTTTTTCAGCATACCAGAAGATACAGTGATAGATAATGAGAGAGCTCTTAAGTCGGTCTCTCTAACGTCTGTGATGATCGCCGAATTAAAAATCAATATATTCCCAACACTTCCTAACAAAAGCTCAAACGGACAAGTTGAACGTTTCCACTCTACATTAACCAAGTTATGAGATGACTGAAAGCTAAGCGGATCTCACGTAACTTTGAAGAATTACTCGAAAGCGCACTAAATTAATATAATCATTCATTTCATTCTACAATAGAGGAAAAACCGGTCGAATAATTTTTCAGTAGAACTCCCAATGTTACTCACGCCGAATTCAAAAGGTTCGACTAAATAATATTGACAAAATTAAAGAAAAACCGAATAAAGACATTACATTTCGCAATAAAAAGATAGATGTTAAAAACATGTTTTTTTTTTCTTTTATTTTCCTTTTTCACTCCTAGGAGGAGTATAGGGCTAGTGCATGATATCTATCATGCCCTAGTTTCTATAGTCATAGAGAGTTTGCTAGGTAGATGACTAGCCTACCGTATTTTTTTTTTTTTTTATTTATTTTTATAAAATATTTCAGTTTACTGTTTATTTTTCTTAAACTTTAGTATCGAATATTATGAATATTTGAAAATTACTTGTATAATATTTATTAGTATTGCATATTAAGTTATATAATATTGAATATAATTTTTATTGTGACCTGACTGGGGTTTGACCCTTCGGTTAAAGGGCCGGTGCCATAACCACTGCACCAATGGTCAGGTGAAAACATGTACACCTGGACAAATAACCTAAACTATCTTCTAGATACAATAAAGAAAAAGTCAAAGAAAATAAAAATACAATAGTAATCATAGAATCCGGAAAAATAATTCATAAGAGCAAAACTCGAAATTATGTTAATTTTCATTAAAACAAAGCTTTATTGCATCTTACTTTTTCACGCAACCAACTTAGAAATTCAAATACTGGATTTCACAAATTTCCTAGTAGTTTTTATAATCGCTGAACAAGTAAAAATAAAGACAGAGACTTACAAAATAACACATGTTATAGAATTGAACGACTACGAGAATGTAGAAAATGAAATAAAACTTACACTATCTGGGCCCTATATATTACTTACATACTCGACCAAATTGACACTTATATAGGAAGCTTTAAATCACAACAAAATAAAAAATACCTAGATTTTCTAGACAACGCCTGGAAATGGATCGCCGGGAGTCCGGATCAGGAGGACTGGATTACCATTAAACAGACAACTAACAAAATGTTAGAGAACAACAATAAACAAATTATCATAAATAACATAATAACCGGAAGAATAAGCAATTTGACTGTAATAAACAATAACATCCAGATGTGAAATCAAAATACAAACATTAACAACGAAGTCGTTTCCAGTATTGGATATAAACTTACAATGTTGAAGGAAGATCTTCGCAAAAAAAATCATGCCATGCAATAGGAAAAATTAGGTATAACTAACTCTAACGTAATTTTATATAGAAGTGATACTAACAGTATAATTAAAACATTAAGTCAAGAAAAGTTACCATATTCGACCGTAAAAGAAACTTTAAACTTTTCTTTAAATCAATAGCTCAACTATCTTTTATATTGAGCTAGAAGCGCTTTGTAAAGAATTAAAAGTGAAATTCAGTATCTCATAGAAGAAAATAATAAGCTAAAATTGGAATCGAGCAACCTAAATACAATAAAAGAAATAAATACGGAAAAAGTCACAACAAACAAAGTGAAATACTGCACAGATCAGGAGGATCTGGCTCCGGAAACCAATTAGATTCTCAAGAGAAAAAGCAAAAAGCGAAGAACAGATATGTCACCTGAAATAAGTCATGAGAATAATGTGAGCAAAATTGAAAAATCTGTGCAGATAAATGCACTACAAGAAAGATCAGACCCTAGGGCTAGGAGCTTGCATCCTTCGTGCCAACCTGAAGATATTAAAAATAGGCTAAAAGAGAGAGGCTTTAAAGTTCTTGAAGTCATTGATAAAATTAGAAAGCAGAATAAAGAAAACAAGATCACTATGATATGACTTCCCCTCTTCATGTTAATCTCTGAAAATTCGGAGGACAGAAAGAAAAATGACATAAGGAAAAATAAACAAATCAACAAAAATACATAAGGAAAAATAAACAAATCTTACAAAACATAAACAAATAAAAATAAAACCAAAAACTGCTCCCAAAACTCCAAAAACCCCAAAAACAACTACATTGAGTAAAAGAGTATACAAACGTAACATATAACCATACCAAAGAACAAAGAAATTTACTTAATGAATATTTATTTAAGGAATAATATAAAACATAATGAAATAAGTAAAGTAAAAAGAGACGATAACCAATTTGTTTCTGTACGAACAGTCTTATAAACATAATTTCGATGTTGGTGTACTTTACTGTCCTCCGGGACGTGTTATAAAGAGTGGTTCGTTCAAAGATCTCCCAAATCTCCTTAAAGAAAGGTTTATTCTTGGAGTTGACTATACTGCCAAATATATTGTGTTTCGGCTTCATCTGCACCTAAAAAGAGATAAAAAAAAAACACAATGAAATATATGTACCTTTACAGAACTAAAAATTTGGGATACATATATGAAAAATAATAAAAGCATGTTCGGTCCTTGAATCTCCATTCATATTTACATACATTATACTATAATGCAAAATTAACCTGAAAAATGAATAATACGCATGAGTACAAATACAATGCAAAAACTGAATTATAAATCAACTTACTTGCGATGAAATTTGGTATCCACTTTCAGCTCAGCAAACCATCTCTGCGTCAATACATAATTTAATTGGTCATCTTTGATTTCCTGCAAAAAGAATGATGTAATGAATAACGATGGCATTAGAATTTATAAATAAAATATGATACTTACCAAATTTATCCATCTCTTTTGAAAAGTTTATTTAAGTTTTTTAATTTTCAAAATAATTGGGTCACTATGTCAACGCAAAATTATTACATGTAGACTCCATCTACAGATCAAAAATCTATTGTGAATAGCACAAATTGGGATTTTGGAAAAAATAATCATGTATTAATACATAATAATGATTGTGTTGTTGTTAAAATGTAAAAATATATAATATTAAATAAATGATCATGTAAAGTATGTAAATAGGTCAACGCACTAATTGTTATTGTAGAAAAATTAATTATGAATTAAGGTGTTCAATAAAAGAAAACACCGCAGATTGTGATGTTTTTAATAAAAGGTAAATTAACAAAAAAAGGTACGATGATGGCAAAATTTGGAGGTAAAAAGGTACTACAATTTTCAACCTTATAAGAAGGAAACGAGTAGTCAATCAGCGAGTATTATCATAATATTTTTACCAAAGTTTAATTTAAATTAATTTTTATGTAAGGATTAAAATTAAATTTCTTAAAGGATTATTGTTTGCTAAATTGTATCCAGTCATAAAATTTTGTAAATTAAAAGGCTAAAGAAGACTTTGACTTCTGATTTATGAAGGCGAAGTCTTCTTAGCGTTGAATCTCTTTCATTTTAAAATATTTTCTCACAGTAATCGTCCCATAAGTTGCAGAAAGCAAAAATGCTTATTTTGCATGTTTATATTGCAAATATTATCAACTAAGAACATAATGCTGCAAGTCGTTATTAGAGTTTATAACTGTAAAGTTGATAATTGTAAACTTAATTGTAGTTATGCATTTGCATTAAAATAAAATAAAAAAGCGTTAAGCGAAAAATTTGTTTTTTTCACAATAATAACAAGAACATTTCTTTAACTTGCATATACATACATATATTGTTAAGACTGATTAAACAGATTAATTTTGCAATTGAAAGTGATTATAACATATATGTATATAATAAATTAGAGTTCTAGTTCTTCTAAAAAATATAATTTTTTTTATATTACTGAAAAATAGTTAACTATAATCCTAGAAACACAGAAAAATTTCATTGAAGCAACCAACTAAACTTTTGATACTCACGTACCCTTAGTAGGATATAAGCGATACTCAAAGCTTGTATCCAAACAGGAGAAATACGAGGTGTCTTGTTTAACAAAATATGAACGTCAATTTTATAAGTGAAACTACAAAGGAATCGTTAATTATTTTGGTAAAAGCATACAAAGATCAGATTTATGGAAATTTTATGCAGGTAGAAGTAGTTTAAGTAACCAAAACATAAACAAAAGCCAAAAGACAAAAACTTTATACAGTCAAAATAGTATAATATAAGAAAAATTATATAAAAAAAGTAGAGCAAGTACAAGAAATCGTAAAACAGCTAACAGGAGCTACAAATGATCAATTAGCCATGATAAAAGAACAATTGAAAAGGTAAAAATTATTGAAATGGGGAATAATATGACTGCTATGACTTCTCCGACACTACATATTAAAGTAAATCATCACTATTAGGGCTATTAGGGCCTAAAACAAAATAAGATTTAAAGGATATGTACGATACGAGTAATGCATCAATACAGTAAATCTTATAAAGTTTGGTGTCCAAGAATGTCAAAAATACGCAACGTTTGTTTAGGCATTTGGAAAGAGTCCAACAACGTCAAAATAATTCATATTAAAAAACTAAAACTGTGCTTAAAATCTAATGTTCAACAATACAGTTCAAAATTCAGCGTTCTGATACTTATATTATCACCAAGCATCATTATAAAATTTACATCAACAAAAAAAATTATCAAATCTCACTTTTGCACTTAATTATCGATTATCACTTAGTCTATTCTATCACGTTCTATCATACCTACATGAAAACAAAAGAAAAACACCCTTTTAGCACAGATACAAATACATATATCATTATTACAGATTTAGTTTTTAGAAGTTATAGTATTTTTATGATTTCAAGACTTCTAAGAATTATGTATATTTAAATATTTCTTCATACAATTTTAAATAAAATTTTATACGATAAAAAAAAATATAAAAAAAACAAATCTATTTCAAAGTTTCAAATTTAATTACTTACAATAATAAAATCAAAACCGATTTTTATTTAAGTAAATTTTGATTAAATTTAAATAGAATGAAGAAATTAAAAGTGTAAAATTTTAATAATAATAACGGTATCACAAAAGGGCTTACTAGTCTATGTGTACCTTGCGGTACCCGCGTTGCACTAGAATAATAATCAAATTAAATGTTCTTTTTATACCCGTACGAACGTATGTATGTTCAAAGGGTATATTAAATTTGCCTTACCGTTTGTAACGCTAAGAAATGATGATCTTAGATATAGACTCAAGTGCATGCTTTTGATCTGCGTCAAATTCTGAGTCGATTTAGCTTTGTCTGTCCGCCCGTCCCAAGGATAACTCAAAAACTAATTGAGCTAAGTTCACCAAATTTTCACAAATTATTTGTTATAGTAAATGCCAGAACCCTATTTAAATTGGACATGATCCGGGTACTGGTTCGGGTAGCTTCCATACAACTTCACAATTTATTTGACTATATTTTAGAAACTATAAAAGCTTTGGTATTGAAATATGGCACAAGTGAATATATTAGTACGGCCAATGTGTTTGATAAAAGTAGTTGAAATTGTTTGGCTCCTTCTCGTAGCTGCCATACAACTTCAAAATTTATTTGACTATATCTTAGAAACTATGAAAGTTTTGGTATTGAAATTTAGCACAAGTGAATATATTAGTAGGGCCAATGTGTTTGGTAAAAGTCGTTGAAATTGCTTGGCTCTTTCTAGTAGCTGCCAATTAACTTCAATAGTAGTTTGGCCATATCTTTGGAAATATTGAAAACACAGTAGTGAAATTTTACGTAAATTAATATGGCAACTAAAGTTCATAGTCTGTCCCATAGCCAGCTATGACATATATATTCGCACATATAGGATAACAAATTCGTACGGATATCACAGAGTTGAGACGGTCAGTTTATTTTTTCTCGTTTAAATTAGAGTTGCAAGTTGGAAGATTTGAAAAGATTTCTTTTTATTTCGGACTGTCCTTCGAATTCAAAATTAGAATCTCAAAATGACTAATTATTATTAGAAAATAAAAACTAATTAATTAGAAATCAAATTTAATAAACTAATGATCTTTATAATGAACTAGTCGTGTGTGCTTGCATTGCAAGCCTTGCAAGTATTACATCTGTAGTTTTGAAATTGTGTTCCATTCCTTTTTTCTCTTCAAAAAAACACCCGTAATATGCACATAGATACGTTTTTTTTTCTAATAAATAGTAAGATAAAACTTAAAATAAGAAAAGTTCTTAAAAAAAATTACAAAAAGGTACATAATTAAACAAATAATTAGCTCCTTTGAAGTCGAATATCTTTTGAGTAACTTATTTTAGATCCTCACTTTGAGTTATGTTGCATAAAATTGTAAATTATTTTTGGCAATAAGCAGTTCAAGCGACCAATTACTGTATACGCATAAAATATTTCGTTACTAAAATGCATGCACGTATGTATTTGGATGTTATAATACATGCGAATAAAACGCGTGACTGTATAATCAGTTAATACCAATATTATATAGGGTAATGCGTATAGCATACGATTTCTATGCAAAAAGTCCCAGGTTCGAACCCTGAAAAATGCGATTTGCCAGATGAACCTTTTTTTGTTGATAATTTTGTTTTTTACCGACCGTATTGTGTAAACAATAGGTAGATTATGTGATGACAACAAATTTTGCATATCGAGTTTTCGGTGGGAACGTACTTCTCCATAGTAGGGAAGTGTAAATAAACTATTTTTAGCAACCTGTCGGTCTGTCGGTCTGTCGGTCTGTGTGTGCACGCGTGTATCTCAAGTTCGGCTGAACCGATTTTGATGAAATTTTATATGTAAGTTTGTTTCCACCATGGCACGGATCGATCAACTTTTGGTAAATATCAGGCCTCGGGAACTGCACTTTTTAGCGGGCCTGTTTTACATTTTTGAAAATTTTGAAGAAAATATTCAACCGATTTACTTGAAATTTTATATATAAGCTCAGCTCGACCGTCCGCAAAAATTCGTATGTTTTGGAAGAAATCAGGCATCGGCAACTAGACGTTTACTACGAGCCAAATATACATTTTTGTGTATATAAAGAGAAATAATCAACCGATTTCATTGAAATTTGATATATGAACTCCTCGTATTAAAACAATGAACATATAAATTTTTTGGAAAAATCAGGGCTCGAAAACGGATTTGCGGGCCGATTTTACATTTTTCCCCATTTTGAAGGAAGTATTCAACCGATTTACTTGAAATTTCATATATAAGCTTTGCTCGATCATACGCAAAAATTCCTAACTTTTGGAAGAAATCAGGCATCAGCAACTGGGCGTTTACTACGGGCCAAATATACATTTTTGTGTATATAAAGAGAAATAATCAACCGATTTCATTGAAATTTAATATATGAACTCCTCGTATTAAAGCAATGAACATATAACTTTTTTGGAGAGATCAGGGCTTGAGAACTGATTTGCGGGCCGATTTTACATTTTTCACCATATCCACAGAACAAATTGATGGAATTTCTTGAAATTTGATATTTGAGTTCTGGTTGTTACCGAAACTAACTGGCGAGCATTTCAGGGAATTCGGGTAGCACAAAACGAAACTCTACTAAGAGCCAAATTTATATTTTTCTAAGTATGTTAACTATAAGCTTACTAATGTCCCAAAAATTGGAAAGAAGTATTTAACAGACATTTTTATAATATTCTGTAACACTTTCATTTAACTAGACAATACACAATGCGGTCGGTTATGTGCTGACCACATCAGATTTTTTTTAAATGACATTAAAAAATTTTCACCCTTACAAATCAATATTAGCGGGTTTCCGTTCCAAATATTTTTTTTTTGAAAATACCCTATTTGTAAAAAGTTGAATGCAGTAGAATAACATTTTCTTATAAAATTTTGTCCTAAAAATATATTGTCAAGAAGTTTAATATACACTTATGTTTTGCTTACTAATACATTTTGCAGCAGGTCGCGAAAAGAATATATAACTAAATGCGTACGCACATACTTATTATAAAACAATGTAGATTTTATTAAAACTTTACAATTTTCTTAAGAAAGTGATCACTTTTTGTTATAATTCACACTTCCAAATATATGAATTTACATATAATATTTATACCTCCAAAAGTAAACAAAAATAACCCCTACAGGATGTAGTACCATTATGTAAAAAACGGTCATAAAGCGTCTTGGGAGGGGGTGAAGGGAGAGGGCGGCTGTATTTCTGTCTTGC